ATTTTGATAAATTTTAAGTCAGTGTCAAATGTTAACTGCAAAATATATCTACTTTTGTAATTAACCACAATATGCCAATAATTCTGATAATTAAAATACTTAAATTATTGCTTGTTACTATTTTTAGTTGTACATTTTCGGCGAAATGTCCGTCGGCGAAATGTCCGTCGGCCAAATGTCCGGCCATGACCTAGATCATAGAATTCACGATTAGAAATTTGCGTACCCCGTGGTACTGGGATATAGAGAGAAAATGTTTCAAATATTAAATAGGTTAGGTTCCGTCTTCGAGAGAGACACAGAGTAAATAAATACAACCTGTTCCTGGGATATACCCCCTTGAGAAAGCTATTCTGTGTAACATTAAGGAAGAATGCAGAAGACGAAAGACATGGACTTAAATATTGAGGATTTAATTGAACTGCTCGCTATTGACGGAGAAACGTGTAAGCGTTTTCTGATTTTTTTTTTTTTTTAAATTCGAGATTAAAACTAGCTTAATACACTCTAGTACAGACAGTTTGGAGATTATCTCAGATAAAGGATAAAAGATATTCATTTGGGGTATTAACGAAATCAGTAATTGTGCAATCAAGCGTAATCCTATTTTAGATAACTATATTCAATAATGGCCGCCACTTGTTCGATTTAAAGCCGTTGGGACACGGATTTTCAGAGATATGGCAAAGAAAAAAGTTAACATCAAGCTCACAGATGAAGGAATTAAAATAAAAAGATAAAAATTAAAATATAATTGAAAAGAATATCTAAAATGTATTTCGTTCCTTGTGTTTTTTTTTTTCTAATTAGATTTAATATACGAAGTGTTAGACAGGAAAATGTTTGGATCATTTATTAGATCTGAAAACTCGTCAGATTCACGGCGATTCAAGACGGACGTAGACTGATATGCATTATTATTCGTGTTAGCAGCGTACCCGTCAAAAAAAACATAAGTGCATAAATACATATTCTACCTTGTCGTTTTCCAGCCATTGACCAACAGAACAAAGTCTCGATGAATTTTAAAGCAGTCGTGATAAAGCACCGTGTGTCATGGCCATGTATTTTCTCCACTTCTTACAGGTTCTCAGGAATAAAGTTTTGTCTAAGCCGTTGATTCCCAACATCGGGTGCACGACCCACGGGAGGGATGGATTCGAGAATGAGTTACTAAGGGTAATTTTTCTTTTTTTTCTTTTAGTTTATGTGTATAGGGGATGAGAGTGTGGGAGAGTTAATACATATGGTGTATATACAGAATGCATACAAAAATGTGTGTTTATGTGTGTGTATATATATATATATATATATATATATATATTTCATTCCAATCGTAGCTTAGATGTAGCACAAGGCCGAAAGTATGGAGCACCCGATAAGGAACGAACTCACTACTCAGTCGTAATTGTTCTAGTAAGTTTACTGACCAATACACGGCATCGAGGTACCCAAATATATTTCAATTTTAAATTTGGAATTGAAAATTAATATTTACTTAGTTGTTATTGCTAAAATATTTTCCCTATTTCATTTTTTTGATAAATTTTAAATTTTAAGTTAATGTCAAACGTTAACTGCAAAATATATCTATTTTTCTTTTCAAATTAACCGCAATATACCAATATATGTCAATTTATTCCTCCTTTTCTTCTTTCCCCACATTTTTTCTAACACCCCTGCTTCCTTATATATTTTCTATTTTTTTTCTTTGTCTCTTTTCCTGTGAGATGAATTATTAAATAGGTCTGTCTCTGTTTTATAATATATATATATTATATATATATATATTATATATATATATATATATATTATATATATTATATTATATATATATATATTATATATTATATATATATATATATATATATATATATATATTATATATATATATATATATATATATATATATATATATATATATATATATATATATATATATATATATTATATATATATATATATATATATATTATATATATATATATATAAGAGACTATTTGACCGACACAAAGACTGACTAAAATTCATGTTAAAAAAAACAAATGAAAACTACAGACAAAAGTTCATTTTCTCCATCAAGACATTTATTTCTGTAGTTCACTGCTACTAGCAAGCAGAAAATTATTTTTCTCTTAATGGCCATGTTGGCCGAAACGAGTTGAGGAATCTAACTGAAATAATAAAAACGAAGGAACATTAATATACAACCCAATGTGTCTGAAGATTTTAATTTTTTAATATTTCTTGTTATATATATATATATATATATAGCTTACACATTATTTTAATGGATACAATTTATTTAAGTAAATGCTCTAGCTTTTTTTTTTTTTTGATAATAGTATTAATTACATTGACAGGCACGAATGCCCGAGAAATTTCGGAGAAAATATGTGCTTCTCAAACAGTAAATAACAAGTGACTTCCGTAGGAAACGTTTGATCTGATGTGCTGTTAACTATTCAACCACAAGGAATCATCTATTGAGCAAGGGTTGTCGGAGAGGCATATTTTCTATCAAATTTCTTGAATATTCAAGCCAGTAGATGTAATCATCAATGTTTAAAAAAAAAATACTTCAATTGTATCTATTAAAATAACGTATAAACAGAAAATATAATTATCACATTTAAACCATTTCATTACATACATATCAGAAAGAAAATGTCCGGATTTTTAGGATAAGTGTGGGAACGTAAATTATCTTATCACATGGTACGACCAGGACGTGTTATGAATATGAGGAAAAATCAATTATTTTTAATAATATGTGGAAATTTCCACTTTTACCTGAAGACGGTCGCGAGACCAGAAACAAGTGTCGTAAAATTATGTAAAACAAAGCATAATATTTTTTCTAAATAAATCCATATTACAACCAAAAACGTTTGCGGCACCTCTCTTCTCTTCAATATACATACTTTTCTCTCGTTGGAACCACTACATTATATTTTATATATATATATATATATATATATATATATATAGTTATAGTGGGGAACAAATATTCGTACACATACAAATTTTTGATTTATTGTATTTCTAACGAATCACCAAACATGCTTTTCATTTAATTAACTGTACATAGATGCATAATAACTAAATATTCATAGAAAACATATAAAAGTTGATTTAATAGAAATAAATCCCATTTATCCATTTTAAAGTGTGAAAAAAGTATTCGTACAATGCAAATTACAGATGGTAAAGATGTACTGATGTCTTTTTAAATTTCAAGTGGAATATTCTAGAATGTTTCAATAATATTATCAGTAATTATTTTAACCTAAAATATACAAACAGAACATTCTTAAATTGATATTCGTGCAAGAAAGTTTTCATCATGGTAAGAAGTAAAGAACTGACAAATTCGCCAAATGAATTGATTAAGCTTTGAAAAGGCAAAGTTACAGGAAAATCTCAGGCAACCTGAATATTCCATTAACTACCATTAGTTCATGCATTGCAAGGTAAAAAAAAATAACTGTTGAAAACCAAACAACAAGTGTTCCACGGAAGATTTCTTCAAGATCTTCGGGGAAAATAGTACGTCAAAGTAAGCAAAATGAAATGGTTACTCGTCAAGAGTTGCAGGCTGATTTGCTTTCATCAGGAATTCCCAGTCACTAAACGGACAATAAGCAATGAAATTCACAAAAAAAAAAAAAAAAAGCATGTTCGCCTCGGAAAACTCCCCTGCTACTGAAAAGACACACAGATGCCAGGTTGGAATTCGTTCGGGAACATAAGGATAAGGAAATATCGTTTTGGAAAGAGTATTATGGACAGACGAAACCAAAATTGAGTTGCCTGGACGCAATTCTACATATGTATGGAGGAAAGATGGCGATGCCTTCAAACAAAAGAACCATCGGTCAAATTTGGTGGTGGCAGCATCATCGTTTGAAGATTTTCTTTTCTGCGAAAAGTACTGACGACATATCAAGAATAGATGGTAGTATGAATGCCGAACCATATCAAAATATTTTGGAAGCAAATTTAATGATTTCAATTGAAAACCTTGAACTTCCTGATTGGATATTTCAACAGGATGATGATCCTAAGTACACTGAAAAGTCTGCGAAGTAGTACTTTGCTAAAAATAATATAAATATCCTGAAATGGCCAAGTCAGTCCCTAGATTTAAACCCAATCGAGAATCTGTGGCGTTATTTGAAAATTCAAATCCAATCGAGACCTCCAACAAAGACCCCGGATCTGAAGACCATATGCGAAAATAGAATGGAACAAAATACAAACTAAAATTTGCAAATCATTTATTGAGAACTACAAGACGACATTGGTTGCTGTAGAAGTGAATAATAGCTATTCTACAAAGTACTAAATGAAAATTATGTATTTTTTGTATTGTACGAATATTTTTTTCACACATTATAGAGGATAAATGAGATTTATTTCTATCAAATCATCGTTTTCTTTTTTCTGTGCATATTTAATTTTATGCATCAGTGTACAGTTAATTATATGAAAAGTAGGTTTATTCCTTAGTTAGAAATACAGTAAATTAAAAATGTATGCATACGAATATTTGTTTTACCCATTATAAATATATTTGGATTCGTTGTTGTCGCTTTGATCTTAAAAATCAGATAATGCTTATATATAAGATGGATAGATAGACAGGAGGCGTTTTTTTTTCCCCCCAACAACAATGATATCGATAGCCACATAATCTTTCCTGCCACCTCCATAACAGTCAGTGTAGAAAATAACTTGTCCAACGCCATCCTAAAATTCATCAACACCACTTCTAAAACAATACGAAATAATTCGCGCACAAAGACATAGCAACAAGACGGAGGCAGGAATATACAGAATAGATTGTACAAAATACCCAGTGTTAATATATGTATAATACATACATACCTACACAAACATCTCTACATACATCCATCCATCTCTGCATACATACATCCATCCATCTCTGCATACATACATACATACATCTCTACATACATACACACACCTCTACATGCATGCATACACACATCTCTCTCTGTACATACATACATCTCTCTCTACATACATATCTATCTCTCTCTCTCTACATACATACATACATCTATCTCTACGTACATACATATCTCTCTACATACATTCATCCATCCATCTCTCTACATACATACACCCATCCATCCATCCATCTCTCTACAAACATCCATCTATCTCTCTCTCACATCCATCCATCCACATTCTCTCTCTACATCCATACATCTACATCTACATCCATACACCCACATATCTCATACATACATCTATCATTCATCACATCCATACATCTACTCTACATACATCTATCTCTATCTCTACATACATCTATCTCTATCTCTACATACATCTATCTCTCTCTCTACATACATCCATCTCTCTCTCTCTACATACATCCATCATCTCTACACACATCTACATCTCTCTCTACAAACATCCATCTACATCTCTCTACATACATCTATCTCTCTCTCTCTCTCTACATACATCTATCTCTCTCTCTCTCTCTCTACATACATCTATCTCTCTCTCTCTCTCTCTCTACATACATCTATCTCTCTCTCTCTCTCTACATACATCTATCTCTCATCCTCTCTCTCCACACATACCATCTATCTCTCTCTCTCTCAACATCCATCCCTCTCCCCCACACACCATCTCTCTCTCTCTCCCCACACACATCCATCACACCATCCCCCATCCCACACACATCCATCCCCCACACACTCCTCTCTCTCTCTCTACATACACCATCTCTCTCTCTCTCTCTACACACATCTATCTCTCTCTCTCCCCCACACACATCTATCCTATCTCTCTCTCTACATACATCTATCTCTCTCTCTCTCTCTACATACATCTATCTCTCTCTCTCTCTACATACACATACATCTATCTCTCTCTACATACATCTATCATCTATCTCTACACTCATCTCTCTACATACATCTATCTATCTCTCTCTCTCTACATACATACATCTATCTCTCTCTCTCTACATATTATACATCTCTCTCTACATACATCTATCTCTCTCTCTACATACATACATACATCTATCTCTATATGTGCATGTGTGTTGCACGCACTTACATATATCTAACTTTGTGCTTGTGATTTGTCTGTCCTCTAAACTATATTCCTCTTGCGCTTGGCAAAGACATCAAGTGATGATAACGCATGCGCTTTTCTAACTTTTCCTGAATCGCCATTTTTTTTTTTTTTTTGTATCTTTCCACAAGACTGGTAACTTGGTCATTCGCCACTGCATAGCTACGGGCCATCATTATAGTGCGAGGAATCAACGCGCTCGCCATTAAGTCACTACCCGAGGGCTTGCTGCATACGCCGGGATAAGAGAATAACCAACAGATAGGATACAGAGAGTAGAGTAGAACATTAGAAACAAAAGGTGAAGGTATATTGGGAGGGGGGAGCCTTTTTAAAGTGTCCGTTATTTAAAGAACTTAGCAAATTGTAATCTATGTGAAAAAGAAAACATTTGTTTTGAGGAAAATAATCGAACTAGATAAACTTAAGCACAACATTTACATATCATGGTATCTCAAAAAAGTTATATATATATATATATATATATATATATATATATATATATATATATATATATATATATGTGTGTGTGTGTATGTGAAAAGTGTATATAAATAAATATATAATTATTTATATATTATATGCGCGGTACTTATTAGAAAGCGCTCAATATCAGAGATAGAGCTAACATATTTGGTTGGATGCATATGTATAGACATAACACCACCCGTATACATACATGTGTCAGAGCCGAAACTGCTCACGTACGTTTATATATGTATGAGTCCTGACGACGATAAGTATGTATGTGTGTCTGCATACATCGATGTTTGGCGTTAGTACGATGAATGACAAAACGACGAAAATTCCCCACCACTTCCACAACAACAATTCAATACACACCAATCTACATAAACCCAAATTTTTAAAACATTAATCGTTTGTTCAAAGATCATGACGTGAAACCAGGTGAACCCAGGGTCACAAATATATATATATATATATATATATATATATATATATATATGTGTGTAATTGTGTGTTCAGGCTATCGTTCTCATCTTCGTTAGCATATTTATCATAACGTTTCGGACGTTGTACGCTCCGGCCTTCTTCAGTTGGTTGGAATGTCAAACTGAACCCTTTATTTCGCTCGCAGAGAGACTCTTCTAGTTGTACATGCCATGTCTAATGGATGTCTTTTGTTAATTCTCCTCTCTAACTTCTCTACTGCCTTAACTAAGTATTGAACTCACACTCTTTGGGTCCCGTCACTGAACCTAACTAACGCCTTTATCCACTGTACCGTTCTAATCTTCGTATAGTTGCTTTAATTTTGGAAGAAAATATAGACAAAACTTAGAAGATCGAGGAACAACATAAAAGAATATCCTAATGGTAGGTAGTTTTTTTCTTCTTTATTTTCTCCCGAAATTA